TGGGTTTTATAACCAGTATAAGATGGTTTTATAACCAGTATGAGAGGGTTTATAACCAGTAGGAGAGGGTTTTATAACCAGCAGGAATGGGTTTTATAACCAGTATGAGAGGGTTTATAACCAGTAGGAGAGGGTTTTATAACCAGTAGGAATGGGTTTTATAACCAGTAGGAGTGGGTTTTATAACCAGTAGGATTGGGTTTTATAACCAGTTGAAGTGTGGCTGAGAGGAGCTGTTAAGGACTGTTCAGATGGTATACTGAGGAAAGGAGCTTCTAGAAAGCAGAACAGTAGATTGCCATGGTGCATTGCCAGGAGAGGCAGAGAGCTTCAGCATCATAGTCCCAATAATACTTCTACTAATACTAATGCTCTTTTTAAAAATATCCTTCAGCTGAACATACTGTACTATATGAAGAAGTCTATTTAATACATTTAGGAACAAGTGACAATGTTAGCAAACAGTATTTTTACTGTAAAACATTTTATTTCAACTGACTGCTGAGTATGTACAGGAGAACATTTGTACATAAATAGGCAAGTTATAAACATCAGCGGTTCGCTGGTACAAAATTAAAAAAGAACATATTATACATTATCTACATGTGCCACTTGTTTTGCACACCATTATCTATAATGGATTGTCCAAATCCATTCACACACATTATCCGAGTTGTATTGCGCATGCAGTTGCTGAGGGGCACAGACTTGTCAGTGGAGCGTAAGTGGCATTAGTACAACACTGGAGAGGACTGAGGGGGTGGCATTGGCTATAAGCTCATGAGAAACACAGCGTGAAGGATTCTAGGACGGGGCATCGTACGATCAAATGGGGGTTGGTGGTATTTAAAACTGTAGGGATCACCCGTTGCAGAATGTCCCTTTAGTTATTGCAGTGTAAACCGAGGAATACCTGCCCACATTTAAGACAATCACACAGGGATAGAACCAAAAATAGACAACCCAATTCTTACTCATCCTCATATTCAAATTCCAAACATTTACATTCATGGCACCCACATTGACGTTCTGAAACGTGGTAATAGACTGTTTAGACAAATACATGTTATGGGTATCAAAATACTGTCCATGGCGCAATCGTGATGTCTATGTATGTACGTTTCCAGTACATCTCATGGTACACATCCCTCTGATGAACACTTTGTGTTCTATTTACCTTAATAGCCGATGCATCATGGTGCACTGATCTGAACAACAAAAGCTATGCTTCGTCTCTCAACAGTATTCAAGAATGGTGCTTGGAGCTTTGTTGGCAGAAAAGTAGTTGTGAACACCTTGTAGATTACATTTAAAAAAAGGTTTTAAAACACATGATGTAAGACATTGCTCAGTGACCCACCATAAGAATACATTTCTGAACACACCGTGTCAGTCATTCTGACACCGATGACAAGGTTCTTCCCCTTTTTGCTCAACTCGAGGAAGCGCTTCAGATGCCGCAATGACTATTGTATTGCAGGCCCCTTATGAAAAAAAAGAGTTAATACATGTTATAACACCACATAGACATACAGTACATACAGTACAACATCAACAACACTCTTGTCATAAGTCCTATGCACCATATCTAACTCTCAAACACAGTTTCATTCACCAACAGAAATATCTAGAGAATATCACTATGACAGCAGTATAGAGCCATCAGAAATAACTCACATTTGGTCCCTGAACTAGAGCCAAAAGTATTCAAATGAGTGTAATAACTTACTAATACACTATGAATACAGTTTATCTGGGGAATTTGATCATCAATAGTATTTGCTGATTATAGTTTGTTTTAATGATACAATTTCCAGTATTTTCTTTAATCAGAGAGTTCTGAGAGAGAGAGCGATAGTATGGGATAGTCTTATATTAGATTGGGCAAATTATCAAACAGAGGCGTTTCCAGACCATCTGGAAGCCTCAGGAATTCATTTTAGAATCAAATAGAAATTCAAATACAAATTGACAGTATCAAAAAACTGCCACAGGCATATTTTCTTCTATACAACATACACCACAATCATTACTGTATCAATCCAATTCCACCACTGACACTGGCTGCTATTGTCACTTATTCAATACTCAGCGCACTGGCTCCCTCTGGTGCGCTGACTGGGTATTGAAGGTGAGTCGTGTCAATTACATAACTAATTAATAAAAACAGCAATCGCTTTCATTGGTAAACACTCTTAGATCACTCAATTAGGTCACACACTGGAATTTAATTTTATGCCAAAATGAAGCAAACATTGTTAACTTTTTGTGGGTTTGGGGATTTAAAATCAGTTTAGCTCAGCTCATGCCATTGTGCAAAATAATGGTTCTGTAATTAAAACAATTCATACTTTCTCAGCAATAATAACAACGATAAAAAAAGTAAGGAACCCTTAACAAATAAAGCTAATATGTGAGAACAAAGTCCTTTGGCATAAAAACAAACCCTTTGTTTCCAGAGAGGGCCTGGTGTTAGATTCACCCCTAGTTTAGAGTGCAGCAGAGGGCCTTGTTTTATTGGTCCACGGTAATTTACTGACCAATGAAAGTGACTGAGTGATGGGATGTTGTCAGCTATTGATTATAAATGAATGACATTGTAAGGTAAAAAAACCAGTGGGCCTTGCAACCCTTCAATACCAGGAGTGAATGTGTGGGTCCCAAATGGTACCCTATTCCCTATATGGCACCCACCCTATTCCCCCATAGGGCTCTGGTCAAAAGTAGTGCCCTTTGTAGGGAATGGGGTGCCATTTGGGATGCAGTAAGACCTGTCCTATTGTTGGTTAAAACATGTGAACTGTTCCAGAGGGTGGACAGGACAGACACAAACACATTCATCATGGTTAGTCCCACAGGGCCCCACTAAACAACCATTGCTCTGCAGTCCCAAAAGCACCTCTAAAACCACAGCAGCACTTCTCAAACCCATAGAGCTATGGTCAAAAGTAGTGCACTATGAAGGGCATAGGGTGACATTTGGGACGAAACCTGGTTCTTGAGACTAACTGTGTGTACTGGTTTGGATGGGTCACCCCATAGAATGACATACTGTATAAAATCCTATTTGGATCTATGGGTCACCCACTGGGACCAGTATCATTAAAAAAACTGTGCGAAATAAAGGCAGATCATTGTCAGTGCAATATGCAAAGTCAAACTTAGTTAAAACACAAACAACACACACTGGATTGGCAAGAATTAACAGGGAGGAAGGCAGGGAGCCATAGAAAATGGCAGTTTCAGCAGCAGCAGTAGAGGATGCTTCCCAAATGGCACGCTATTCCCTATATAGTCCTATTGACCCTGGTCAAAAGCAGTGCACTATATAGGGAAAGGGTACCATTTGGGATGCAGCTAAGTCTCTGACCTTCTCCAGGAATGGCTCTCTATGGAGTGGGATTTATAGGAGTCCAGACAACATTGTTATCACAACAGCCAAGTAGCGGCTGGATTCCAACCTCTAAACCTTAACAGTAAATCTGCACCACAACACAGAGACAGTAAAACCTCCAAGAGATACTCTATCAGAGCTATTCCTCAAGAAGCAATACAGCTACTACTAGGAAAATTATTCCCTTTTACTTCAGTTAATACATTAGTTTACCTCCATAAAATCCTGTAAGAACCAAGTAGCATAAGTATCCCCCTGTAAGAACCAAGTAGCAAAAGTATCCCCAACTCTGACCCTCTCCAGGCAAGCTTCATGGTCAGAGTTGCTATTTCCTCAGAGTACATTGGACAACCTGGACTGGCCTAGACTTGACTGGACAAACATCTAAAGGGCTCTACACAGTCTACACAAATGGAGCCCACGGAGATCCATTTGTATCGCGTTCCAAAAATTCTGCCACACAAATGTAGGTAGAACTACGTAGAGAGCGATGCAAACAGACCTCCGTTTAAGTAGACTGTGTAGAGCCCTTAACAAGGGTAGTGGTTATCTCCATAGTAACCTTGAACAACGGCACCTCAACAACCTACCCTATTTAGACACCTCTTAGGTAAAGGAGGGGGATCACCAACATTTAGAAAGTGCAAAGATTAAGCGTAGTTTTCTCTCTTTCCTTTAGTAAAGACATTATGGAGTGTTGCGAACAAAAACCCTGCTGTGGTAGTTAAAATACTTTACAAGAAGGAATGGTTATTAGAATATCATTTTCCAAGGACAGAAGATCCAGTTGGTTGTGGTTGGTTTGTGGTTGGTAGACTTTTTAACACTGAATGGTAGTTTGGTTGACCATCATCATTGGGTTGACAACCTCGCCGGCATGTCAGAATGACGGTGGGTCTTCACAGGGCCAGTTTTGTTCTGGTCATCTCATCAACGTACCGTGGCACTTCAAGGACCGTAGGCTTGAATTGTTCAAATAATTACAGGTTGCTGTCGTTTCTCTTTACTGTAAAAAATGGGGAGTCCCCCCCACAAGTGCAACAGAAAGCCTTAAACAGTCTGTGGAGATGGCCATGAAAGCATCCCCCTTTACAACACTGGAGTTAAGTCCCAGAGGCCATTCGCACATAGAACCTCAAATTAGCTTTCAGTCCAGGTTGTGGTTTCACTGACTTGACACTTGACAGAGTCTGCGGACATCGCCAACTGGTGGGGAGCCTAAGGAAGTGTGTTTCTTTGACACGGAGAAGTGAGGCCTGCATTGAGAGGTCCCTTGTAGCAAAGGGAGCTCTAGTGAACGTAGCAGTGGCTGAACAAAGACACTAAGGGGCACTCTTCCACATTCATCCATCCCCAAATGTCTGGACGTCTAGGACTGGGACACAATCTTCTTCTCTTCTTCTATTTGACTCTATTTGTTTTCCTTCAAATACTATGTGCAGTTAACTGCCACCTATTGGCTTTGTTGCTGTCCGTCACTGCTTGTGTAACTGGTGGGATGTGAACCCCGGTCTATCACGTGCCAAGTCGCTCCCTTCCTCTTTCCTCTCTCCTCTCCTGTGTGTCTGTCCGTCAGTGAGTCTGTCCGTGTAGCAGAGTCATCTCTTCAGAGAGTGGCCAGTATACGTGAGAAGGAGATGACTACAGAGAGTGTGGTCTGGCCCACTCCAAACACCAGGGCCTGGAGGGGGGCCATGTCCTTCCCTGCCACACGGTACACCCCTGCCACCGCTGCACCTGGAAAGAGACACACACATATAGATTATATGACATTGATATGACTATAAATATGACACACTGGGCCTGTAGACACACACCGGCAGCCAGTCAAGGCTTGTCAACTGTGTTCAATAGCATTTTAGTACCAATAAGAATACACACAAAAAAGAAGAAGGAACAGAAAGAAAGAAAGAAAGAAAGAAAGAAAGAAAGAAAGAAAGAAAGAAAGAAAGAAAGAAAGAAAGAAAGAAAGAAAGAAAGAAAGAAAGAAAGAAAGAAAGAAAGAAAGAAAGAAGAATAAATACACTGAGTGTACAAAATGTATCTTCCCATGAAATAGACTGACCAGGTGAATCCAGGTGAAAGCTATGATCCCTTATTGATGTCACTTGTTAAATCCACTTCAATCAAAGTAGATGAAGGGGAGGAGGCAGGTTAAAGAAGGATTTTTAAGCCTTGAGACATTTGAGACATGGATTGTGTATGTATGCCATTCAGAGGGTGAATTGGCAAGACAAAAGATTTGAGTGCCTTTAAACGGGGTATGGTAGTACAGTGAGGGAAAAAAGTATTTGATCCCCTGCTGATTTTGTACGTTTGCCCACTGACAAAGACATGATCAGTCTATAATTTTAATGGTAGGTTTATTTGAACAGTGAGAGACAGAATAACAACAAAAAGATCCAGAAAAACGCATGTCAAAAATGTTAAAAATTGATTTGCATTTTAATGAGGGAAATAAGTATTTGACCCCTCTGCAAAACATGACTTAGTACTTGGTGGCAAAACCCTTGTTGGCAATCACAGAGGTCAAACGTTTCTTGTAGTTGGCCACCAGGTTTGCACACATCTCAGGAGGGATTTTGTCCCACTCCTCTTTGCAGATCTTCTCCAAGTCATTAAGGTTTCGAGGCTGACGTTTGGCAACTCGAACCTTCAGCTCCCTCCACAGATTTTCTATGGGATTCAGGTCTGGAGACTGGCTAGGCCACTCCAGGACCTTAATGTGCTTCTTCTTGAGCCACTCCTTTGTTGCCTTGGCCGTGTGTTTTGGGTCATTGTCATGCTGGAATACCCATCCACGACCCATTTTCAATGCCCTGGCTGAGGGAAGGAGGTTCTCACCCAAGATTTGATGGTACATGGCCCCATCCATCGTCCCTTTGATGCAGTGAAGTTGTCCTGTCCCCTTAGCAGAAAAACACCCCCAAAGCATAATGTTTCCACCTCCATGTTTGATGGTGGGGATGGTGTTCTTGGGGTCATAGGCAGCATTCCTCCTCCTCCAAACACGGCGAGTTGAGTTGATGCCAAAGAGCTCGATTGTGGTCTCATCTGACCACAACACTTTCACCCAGCTCCTCTGAATCATTCAGATGTTCATTGGCAAACTTCAGACGGCCCTGTATATGTGCTTTCTTGAGCAGGGGGACCTTGCGGGCGCTGCAGGATTTCAGTCCTTCACGGCGTAGTGTGTTACCAATTGTTTTCTTGGTGACTATGGTCCCAGCTGCCTTGAGATCATTGACAAGATCCTCCCGTGTAGTTCTGGGCTGATTCCTCACCGTTCTCATGATCATTGCAACTCCACGAGGTCAGATCTTGCATGGAGCCCCAGGCCGAGGGAGATAGACAGTTATTTTGTGTTTCTTCCATTTGCGAATAATCGCACCAACTGTTGTCACCTTCTCACCAAACTGCTTGGCATGGTCTTGTAGCCCATTCCAGCCTTGTGTAGGTCTACAATCTTGTCCCTGACATCCTTGGAGAGCTCTTTGGTCTTGGCCATGGTGGAGAGTTTGGAATCTGATTGATTGATTGCTTCTGTGGACAGGTGTCTTTTATACAGGTAACAAGCTGACATTAGGAGCACTCCTTTTAAGAGTGTGCTCCTAATCTCAGGTCGTTACCTGTATAAAAGACACTTGGGAGCCAGAAATCTTTCTGATTGAGAGGGGGTCAAATACTTATTTCCCTCATTAAAATGCAAATCAATTTATAACATTTTTTACATGCGTTTTTCTGGATTTTGTTGTTGTTATTCTGTCTCTCATTGTTCAAATAAACCTACCATTAAAATTATAGACTGATCATTTCTTTGTCGGTGGAAAAACGTACAAAATCAGCAGGGGATCAAATACTTTTTTCCCTCACTGTAGGTGCCAGGTGCACCGGTTTGAGTGTGTCAAGAAATGCAACGCTGCTGGGATTTTCACGCTCAACAGTTTCCCGTTTGTATCAAGAATGGTCCACCACCCAAAGGACATCCAGCCAACTTGACACAACTGTGGGAAGCATTGGAGTCAACATGGGCCAGCATCCCTGTGGAAGGCTTTTGACACCTTGTAGAGTCTATGACCCAACGAATTGAGGCTGTTCTGAGGGCAAAAGGGGGTTCAACTCAATATTAGGAAGGTGTTCCTAATGTGTGTGCAGTGTATGATCTCTCCTCATCCTTCCTCGTATCGTCATAGCTCCCTACTGGAATCTAAAGTTGTCTCTGTAGAACCTCCTGCATGGACAGATTTAATACCGTTAAAAGATGGCCCTTTTAAAGCTGGCCATATTAATATGTGTGATTGAGTGTCTGCCCACATACTGTGTTTACTTGCCACTCTGGATGCATCCCAAATGGCACCCTATTCCCTTCATAGAGCACTAGTGCACTATGTAGGGATTAGGGTGCCATTTGGGATGCATCACTCTCTCACAATACGCCGTTATGATTATCGCCATGGAAGGTCTCAAAAGTACAACTGTCTGAGTACAACTTTTAAAAATTATTATCTCAAAACCAAGATACAAATCTTAATTTAAGTCAACACAGTAAAGAAAAGACAAGGGAGTGATAACCTATAAGCTGGCTCAAAGTTGTTGACGTCTGACTTTTGCCAGTCTACCAGTGAATAACCTCACCTTCCCTCCCTCTTGGCAGAGTGTTGCTGGCTGGCTGCTGCTAGACGGTGCTAGCTCTTAGCTGTTTTAGCGTACACACAGGGCAATGCACAGTCAATAATCTGCTCTCTTTCTCGGCGAGCTTCCACATTAATAATAAAGTGGTCTGTCTATTTTGGGCTCGGCTTGCCTCTCTGTGATTGAGTGTGATTCATCCAGCCCTGTCCTCAGCAGCTCCTGTCCTGTCATACCCTACGTAGCTCACAGAATGGCACCCTATTACCTAAACAGTGCACTGCTTTGACCAGAGCCCTATGGGTGCACTATGTAGGGAATAAGGTGACATTTGGGACACAACCACAGACAGGTCTATTTACACAGACATATACAGTACTATGTCCCACTCTCTGATATACTTATCATATACTGGAAGATTATATATCAGAGGAGGGAGGATGATATTTGGGATAAAAATGTTGGGCATTTGTAGAGAGGACAATGGGACAGACAGACAGACAGACAGACAGACAGATAGATAGACAGACAGATAGATAATACAGACAGAGAGATAAACAGACAGACACACACCGACCGTCCCCCCCCCCCCCCCCCCCCCCCCCCCACACCCCACACCCCACACACACACACACACACACAGTAGGCGGTGACTCACTGGTGATGACCCCACCGGCCAGGGAGGCCAGGAAGCCCACACTGACCAGGACCAGGGTGATGAGGCGACCCCTCTTGTGGCGCTGCAACATGACTACCATGAGCAGGCCCATCGCCCCGTGGACGAAGAGCGAGGAGAACAGACTCCACAGGAACACCCAGTACCACATCTCTGAGAAGAGGAGAGGAAAGAACACATGCAGTCGAGTGGTTATACACAGGGAAACAAACAACAAGCATCGAGTAGAGTGGTTAGTTAGACAGCTCTGTAGGCCTACCAACAACCTCAGAAATGTTGACATACAGATGTAGGATCTTAATTTGAGCTAGTTTGTTACAGAAGGAAAATAATCCTGCAGCAACAGGAATTGAAATTGGATTGTAATTAACCCTATCAATCCCGAGACCCCAGCAAAAATCAGCTTTTCATTTAACTGACTTTCATTTATCTGCATGTCCAGCCCTTATATTTAGCCTCACAATTAAGTGTTTTACCATTTTATTTTCAGGACAACCAGGGCTAGAAGTAGAACACAAAACAATTTGACATAAACAGTTGCATTCATGAGTTTTATTGATTAATGTCAATAAAAAAAACAATGTCCGCCAAAGCTAAAACATGATATAAATGAATTCATATGAATGCTGTAAGTACAGAAATGATTTGCTCACTTGGAAATGAATATCCAACTAGTCAGTGACAACTGTGTGGAGTTTGGAGATTGTGACATCAACTATGTGATCTTATTACAGTATTGTAGACACTATGTCCTGGGATTTGCTATGATCTTCGATGTAGAAGAACCCCTTATCTTTTAATGACTGTTGTGTGGCTTGTAAACGTCATAGAGTAAAACGTGCATGTTTCTGAGAGTCTCAGCTTTTCATAGATAGCTTTTATTCGTTTGTAGTTCAAACCATTAGTACTCTACAGACGTTTTTGTAAAAAATACCTGGCCCCAACAAATCCAATGGTATAACCGGAGTTAGGGTGGAACTCATTGGGTAAATTGACATTTTTTGTTAGGACAAATCAAGTCTGACATTTTAAAGTGGAAATTGTACTGTACATACATGTCTCTGAATGGAAAACATATTGTCACGCCCTGACTCTGAGGACTTGTATTTGTTGAGTCAGGGTGTGTATTTTCCGTGTTGTGTGTTGCTATGTTTGATTTCTATGTTTTAGATCTAGCATGTGCAGATCTATGTTGGCCGGGGTGGTTCCCAATCAGAGGCAGCTGTAGCTCGTTGTCTCTGATTGGGGACCATACTTAGGCAGCCTTTTGACACCTGTTAGTTGTGGGATCTTGTTCCGTGTAAGGTATGTTGTTTGTATGCTACCTTGGACTTCACGTTTCGTTTGTTGTTTTGTCGTGTGTTTAGTCGTTAATAAATATGAATGCATATTACGCTGCGCCTTGGTCCTTCTCGTTCGTAAACGATCGTGACACATATGGTTAAAATAGACACATTCGAAGTAACAGCCACTGCGAGGTGTCAGAGAACATGGCCTTTGCGTACTCTAAAGATAGAACTGAGGATGTGGTTTTAGACGTATCTCTAAACAAGCAACTACAGAAAACTGTTTGTTTGAAAACACAGGTACAGGATGATATCTGAGAGAGAGAAGCAAAAAGCAGCAGCAGGAAACATCAGATTTCAATCTACAGGCACCTTTTGCCTGGGCCCATCAAGAAGGCAGCCGAGCACCGTAATAAACTCACACTATGCAACCAAACAGGATGCATCCCAAATGACACCCTACACAGACATAGTCTGCTGTTAGAGATTAAAGCGGTAACATCTCAAATCCAGGTACCCATTTTGAAGGTTTATGAAGGGTATTTAATCCATTCAGTGAAGGATTTAAAAGCACTTAAATAAGCATTAACATCTCATATCCAGGTACCCATTTTGAAGGTTTATGAAGGGTATTAAATCCATTCAGTTAATGATTTAAAAGCACTTAAATAAGCATTTTTAATTCAATTTTATATACAATTTGGACAAATGTTTGGATCCCGAACATTCTCCTGCTGTGTCGCTCCCATCAGTGGAACTACTGTACGACTCAACATTACCTCAATGAAAACCCCAAACTGACACTACTCTCGGACACCCAGAACTAGTCACAAGAGATTAAACTGGTACATATATGGTACATACTGTCTAATTATCCCATTTCAGAAAGAGCTCCTCCACAAATATCGGGCATTCCGACACTAGCGATGAATGATTTGTCTCTATGTTTCAACATAGGAATTCCAACACATACCTGGCATTGCTAGTACATGACCAAGACAGGCCTGTGTAAGGAAAACAGAGATCCCGTTTGGAGAAACTAGGGAGGATGGACCCAATCTTATGAAGTCACATAGAGGGTCCTGCAGAGAGCCCTATTCACATTCTCTCCCTCTCCTCTTCATTCCTCTCTCTATTCCTTTTTTCCTGGGCCACAGGCTCCGAGAGACAAGCTTTGCGAGGGGCCAGATTGGCTCCACTGACACTGAGGCAAAGCGGGTTGGACATAAGATTCGACTGGATGTTTGTGAGTAGGGGAAAGAGCGAATGGAAGCTTGGAATGCTTTGATTTGATTTTGGATGTGTTATCACATTCTTGCAATACATGTACCAATGATTTGAATGTACCGTCTAATATGTCAACATCTGCCACGCTACTGCTGTGATGGGAATTTAAACCCCTCTGCAAAGTAATGTATCAATCAGTAGAAACTCTTTAGCATATCCATTTAACCTTGTTCCACAATCCACCGAGTGACTACCTCCTACCTCCTCCTGTATCGATCAGGCCGTCAGCTGTCATGCTTGGCATGGAGAGAGAGAGACGTTACGGGGGTGACACAAGGCCTTTTGTGCTGCCTAGCCTGCATGGTCTAAACAGAACACACGGCCAGCTCAGTCAGCACAGTGGCTGTGATGAGTTACAATACAGACCCTATCTGTGGTCACCTCCCATCTGGCAGTGGAGTGAGATGTTAGGGGATGGGACGAGATACTGTAAAGAGAGGGAGAGGGATGTATCGAGAGAGGGACAGAGAGAGTGGAGAGAGAGAGAGTGGCAGAGAGTGGCAGAGAGAGGATGATGGATGGATGGTATAGGGAAAGAGTGTGTGTGTGTGTGTGTGTGAGTGAGTGAGTAATTGGGGCCAGACTGGAGATGCACGCCAGCCAAGGAAGAAAGGGAGGGTGATGTAAAGAGATACAGAGGTAGAGAGAGAGAGAGAGAGAGAGAGAGAGAGAGAGAGAGAGAGAGAGAGAGAGAGAGAGAGAGAGAGAGAGAGAGAGAGAGAGAGAGAGAGAGAGAGAGAGAGAGAGAGAGAGAGAGATGGATGGATGGATAGAGAGGGGCCAGACTTGGGCCAGAGAGGCACGCTGCCGCCAGCCAACTCCATTAAGATTCCACACAGGCCCAGATATGTCGCTAGCAAGCAGCTGCCGCCCAACCCTAAGCCTGGCTGGATTTGTGGGGCATAGGGCCACACCACACACCTCTGCTCTGTCACGCCACTGGAACACAGATCCCTCAGCGGCACCACTCTCTGCATGGCACCGTTTATACTGTGTGTGTGTGTGTGTGTGTGTGTGTGCCTGCATACTGTATGTGTATGAGGGGGTGGGGGTGGGGTGGGGGGGTGGAGTTGAGGTCATCTGTATTCTGGAGTGTAGTACAAGTGCTGTGTCATCTTCAGGCATGCAACCCCAACCTCAACCCAACCCCTCAGTCAGAAGACTGTTGTATTATTAATGTTTGTTATGCTGCTAATCCCCTTGCAAGAACCTGGGGGCCTCCATCAGCAGCTTTCACAACACACAGTGGGGGCCAGCTGGCCTCGCATGCTAACACAAAACATGAAAGAGAAAGGCATTATGTTCCCATTCCACTGATAAGTGGTCAAACGTTTGGCCCATAGAGTCTACAAAGGCACTGCCAGGCATTGGTTGTGTCCCAAATGGCACCCTATTTAGTGAACTACTTTTGACCAGGGCCCTTCTTTTGACCAGGGCCCATACTTCTGGAGAGTAATGCCATGGTCACTGCTACAGCCTAGTCAGGCTTTGAGAGATTGTTCCCTATGACAGAGAACAGCAACAATACAGTACTGTGAAAAACACTTCAAAGTTTTCATTGAGTACTGTAATAACATGTAATAAGATGCTAATCGGATGGAATAACACGGCAATAACAGGTGACAGAAGTGTGAACAATTCAAGAGAATAAAGCATGAAAAGACTGATTCAAATGTTCTTAAATGGTGCCACCACTAATCAGCAGTAATCCATCTGAGCACATCAATAATCACATTGTACAAAGACAATGGCAAATCTCTTTGCTGGGTGCATGCAATGTTATTACATCAACCTGTCGATTCAAAACTGAAAAACAGTAGAATGTTTTTGTGCTTGACTGAGAATAAAGAGGGAAATGAGAAGTGAAACTGCTGATATGGCTGTACACAGGAAATACAATTTGTTAAAGTACTCTGCCAGAGGAGTCTGTGAGAGATACTGTAAAAGTTTAAAGGAGTTGTCTGTCATAACATGTAGAGTTTATGGCCACTGTATGAGTCCACATTGAACTTGCTTATGGCCTTCATAACTTCTCTGAGCTTCAACTAACTTAATTCTAACTTGTTTTTCATGACTGGTTTTGAGGATTGTATGGCAGTTCTGTAAGTCCTGCTGCCAGATAGTGGATGTCACTCCTTGGTTTACTCTTGTCTCACCACCACAGGAACTTTACTTCTGCAATACTTGTGCATGTGAGTCACTTCCCTGCTGAATCATGGTTGTGTCCCAAATAGGGTGCCATTTGGGACGCATAGCATGTCTTGTTTTTCTTCATGTTTCTCTGCCCAGGATGTCCACTTGGGCTTGCTCTCAGAAAATCTCCATGCCAGCTTTGATGCCCATTTATAGTATGTCCATCTTTCTCTTTGCAAGGCAAAAAGGAATTCCAGTCAAGAGAGGTCTTGTTATTATGACATTGTAATGTCTGTTGTTCCATTGCCCAATTCATTCTTAGGTTATTGTATTCTTAGGTTATTGTATTCTCTTACCACTTTAGCATTTCCACTCATTCAAAAATAATATCACAAATACAATGACCAATGTACTAGCATGCTCATATCATATCTCATTATGTAAATAAATAAAGCCTTGTAAAAGCGTTTTTGAGAAAGGGGGGGAGAGGATAGAGAGAGAGAGACAGATGGACAGGCCGACAGACAGAAAAAGAGGGAGGGAGAGAGAGCGAGCGAGAGAGCATTGAAACCTAATTGTATTGACTGGTTAGTCAGGCGTTTATACATCTTCTGTGACACTGTCACTCATGATTGTTTACATCTCAACAAATACTTAACAGTAATTTAGAAGTTACCCACTGCTGTGCAGAATAGTCACAGTAGTCTACAATACAGCATCTAGGCCTCATTTTACACAAACACACCACATACACACACTGTAAATGTAAGGCGTGGATCGATGTGCCATATCTCCCTAGAACACCCCAGACTGCCTATCAAGGAGTTGGAGAGGATGACACTAATTACCTGTGATTACTCGACCACAAGACAAAGGAAGGGGGCTGTGTGGCTGCAACAGAAATGACAACACTACATTTCACAGTGCCAAGTGCATTCACGCAGCATAAAAATGCATCAACCGGTAGAATATACTTGTTATTCATTCGATGACTCCAAGCGCGGCAGCATTGGACAAGGGAGTGAAATTATATTTGTATTTATCATTTAATTTCCGTAACACATTGTCCGATGTTATTCAACTGACACCAAGGCATTGAGAGGCGAATGCCTCTTAAAAAGTAAGGTACCGGTAGGCTACAGTATGGACACCGACAGAATAAACACTTCGGGGCAGTTACCGCTGCCCGGTGGATATTTCATACCGTGTATACTCTCCCTTTAAAAATGGACGCGCACAGCTGCCCATGTCACCCCATTCTATCCAACAGTACAGTAAGTTAGTAGATAACGGCCAGCCCTGTGTGTAGTCTACAACACCGGCAATTGGGTGAACCGAGCCAGATCCTACACACACCGGTTGAAACAATGCCAAGTGCACGACATGTGTGTAACTGTACAGTAATAATGTGACATACAGTACATAGCCTACCTGTGAAATGTTGCAGCGTCGTGCCTTGCACCCAGAGGCTCAGCACTTGCTGCACGGATAGATTGACAGAATAATCCTTATTCGTGTTCATGTTTCTGCCGCCGGCTCTGCCGCCGCCCGGGTTCGCACCCCTCTTTGTGAAATGGCTGTAAGTGGCTTTTGACGAAGACATCGAGGAGACCGGGGTGGCATGAGCTCGGAGGCTTGATCCCCCGGCGCGTACCCCTCTACCGGTGCCTCTGTTTCGGCTTAACGTTGTTCGTCTCCGCGCGGGGAAGGAAAGGGCCAACCGCTCGTCTGCTCGTGCTCATTCTCGGTTGCAGCGGCGGCTGTTTGGAGGCCATGGTGAGTATGGCAGCGCGACAGAGCGCAGCGCACACGGAGGAGTTGTCCTACATCAGCCTTTCTCTCTACATAACCCTTAAAGGGGCCGTCACCAGTTAAAGGGGAGTATACAGTAAAAGCTTACGGTTATGATATTGTATAAGCTTATGAATGGGGAACAAAAGATGAGTAATTAGTACAGTAGCGTTTACGCTGAAAACGTGCGTAATCTTTTGGCCCATGCGGGCGTAATTGAGCGGTAAAATTGTGAAAATCAGTGATGGGTGTTGTAGGCTAGTAGTCTGCATTTTACTAAGGAGCTAGAAATCTTTTGATTTGCAATGAAAAGGCAGTTTTGTGACACATTACTACAAGAATGATGCGTTTTTGTATTGCAGGGCGTTGTCCATGACGTCGTAGCGATGCAGGTACTGTCTATGGTGCTGATTCGCTCCCATGGCGTCAATCCTAAATCGCATGATAAAGGTGGAGTAGCACAGCATAATATCAATAAGAGGTATCAGATTCAGCAGATCATATTCTGTATTACTATAAAATGAGTCAATATTAAGGTCATCATTTGGGAATTTATCAGAGAGAGATGTATCAGCGAACATTCCAGACACAATGATTTTTGGTGTGAAAGTGGATGAGAAGTCTGAAAGCTACTTTTTATTTGTCTATTGATCAGGAACCATGTACAGCAGAATAAGGAGCCTTTTGCAACAGAGCTGATCTCCATTATGGTCCCTTCAACAAATAGATCTTAGAATTTAGATCAATGCTTTGCAGGTTTTACTTTTCACATCAAGTTAGGGGTGAGACTTTTTACAGTAAGCATAATGACTATTGTTAATAAGCATGAATACACTTGGAATTATTAAGATTCTTAACGTATATAACACTGGGGTTTTGCAAATGGCTTTGCGGCTCTTTCTATTTTATCTTTGATAACTTAGGTCTACAGTGATTTTTTGTATTGATTTTTTTATTTCACCTTTATTTAACTACTTTATTTAACTACTACTACCAGATTACTACACAACTGCAAAAATGGTTACATTTCTGTGTGAGAGCGGAGTTTGTAAAGAACTAGGCCAATAACACAGTGTAACTTTAATTTGCATGATTCAGCTTCAATACATTAAACATTGCAAAACAAAATGCTAATTTAAGTACAATGTGAAGCCATCACTTACACTGTTTCAATTTCATAGTCATTGTGAGACTGATTTCATAGTCGTTGTGAGAGAGAGAGAGAGAGAGAGAGAGAGAGAGAGAGAGAGAGAGAGAGGAAGAGATAGACAGAGAGAGACAGAGAGAGACAGAAAGAGAAAAGGAGAGGAAGGGGAGAGAGATATACAGAGTGACAGCAACGGAGATGGAGAGAGAGAGACAGAGAGAGAGAGAGAGAGAGAGAGAGAGAGAGAGAGAGAGAGAGAGAGAGAGAAAGAGAGAGAGAGACAGAAAGAGAGAGAGAGACAGACAGACAGAAACAGAGACAGACAGTGACAGACAGACACAGAAAGAGAGAGTGATAGAAAGAGAGAGGGAGGAGAGACAGAAAGACAGACAGACAAACAGAGAGAGAGAGAGAGAGAGCGCGCGAGAGAGAGAGAGACAGACAGACAGAAAGAGACAGACAGAGAGAGCATCAGAAAGAGACAGACAGAGTGTGCGAGAGAGAGAGAGTGTTATGGTCTTTGAGTGTTCTGGAACAAATCTCTAAGGGTGAAGTATTTTCAGATGTGTCCCAGTTCAAAAGGTATGAAAATGAAGAAGAAACGTCAGACATCTGACACCTCAGGCGTATACCTTCGACATAATGTCAGGAATGCACCACGAGGTGAATGACCTGAATGTGATTTGGTAGATGGAATGCTATGCCGATGATAATAGAATCACTGTACAATACCTTGGGCTAGATATACTAGGCTTTTGCATTTTCAGAAGGCAATAAAAGACAAAAAACATGGACGACAACAATTGTATTTATTTATTTACACTTGATCTCTTTCTCAAGATCGTATTCCTTATTTTGTTTACTTGTGCTCTACCTTTTAAGTTTTATTCACTTTTGAAAAGAACAGGTGCAAACTTTGATATACAAACACTTGATCTGGTCTAGAGTCTGAATTCCAAACAGCCTTGGCATCATAACAAAAGATCAAGCTTACAATAGAGAGAAAATGTGTCATAGGTATAATTTCACTCTCTGTGGCACTACCCTGACCACATTTCCCATCCATAAAGCTGTGAAAGTAGCAGAAAGTTGTAGCGTGACTGTGTCAAAGCTCTGCTATGGACACCATTGGCTTCTTGAACCCTGAGTTCTTTGTTGTGGTTGGGAAGTTTTGCTCTGAAGCTCTCTCTCTTTCATCCCACACTGTTAACCTATCATCATCACCCACCAATTATCCTACGTGAACTAGGCTCAGAACATATTAACCATAACAGCCGATTATCACATTACATAATGATTTGAGAGATATAGAAATATTGCATGGGACGGTCAGGTTTTACCTATTGTTTGGTCTATGATATCAGGTATTGAAATAGATAGATTGGATTGCAGTGTGTATCTGATATAACAAGTAGTGAGAAATTCAACTGTGGGATATTATTGAGAGTGAAGGGCAAGGTAGATGAAAGGACATCCATTTCTGGGGGTTATAGCCCAACCCACCCCCACCCTCCAGACCTTTGAGCAGTTTAGGTCAGGTTAGTGGGATGAAAGAGCTATTTGACTCTTTCCCACTTCTCTGCATGCCTTTGATACCAAGCTATCTCTGTACGGTGTGAAAACCTCAATGGATATCCGTCAGATGATCTGGTTCCCAAATGGCACCCTATTTCCTATATATAGGAAATAGGGTGGCATTTGGCATACAGCCATGATCTATGTGTCCAAATTAAAATAATGTTGTTCAGTGAAATGTCCAGTTCAAATGCACTGGTACACTATACATACAAAAGTATGTGGACACCCCTTCAAATTAGTGGATTCGGGTATTTCAGCCACACCCGTTGCTGACAGGTGTATAAAATCGAGCACAGAGCCATGCACTCTCCATAGACAAACATTGGCAGTAGAATGGCCTTACTGAAGAGCTCAGTGTGACCTTCAACGTGGCACCGTCCTAGGATGCCACCTTTCCAACAAGTCAGTTCGTCAAATTTCTGCTCTGCTAGAGCTGCCCCGATCAAATGTAAGTGCTGTTATTGTGAAGTGGAACATCTAGGAGCAACAACGGCTCAGCCGCGAAGTGGTAGGCCACACAAGCTCACAGAACGGGACCTGTCCTCGGTTGCAACACTCACTACCGAGTTCCAAACTGCCTCTGGAAGCAACGTCAGCACAATAACTGTTCGTCGGGAGCTTCATGAAATGGGTTTCCATGGCCGAGCAGCCGCAGACAAGCCTAAGATCACCATGCGCAGTGCCAAGCATCGGCTGGAGTGGTGTAAATCTCACCGCCATTGGACTCTGGAGCAGTGGAAACGCGTTCTTTGGAGTGATCAATCACGTTTCACCATCTGGCAGTCCGACGGACGATTCTGTGTTTGGTGGATGCCAGGAGAACGCTACCTGCCCGAATGCATAGTGCCAACTGTAAAGTTTGGTGGAGGAGGAATAATGGTCTGGGGCTGTTTTTCATGGTTCGGGCTAGGCCCCTTAGTTCCAGTGAAGGGAAATCTTAACGCTACAGAATACAATTACATTCTAGACGATTCTGTGCTTCCAACTTTGGTGCAACATTTTAGGGAAGGCCCTTTCCTGTTTCAGCATGACAAAGCGAGGTCCATACAGATATGGTTTGTCGAGATCGGTGTGGAAGAACTTGACTGGCCTGCACAGAGCCCTATCCTCAACCCATGGAACACCTTTGGGATGAATTGGAACGCAGACTGCGAGCCAGGCCTAATTGCCCAACATCAGTGCCCGATCTCACTAATGCTCTTGTGGCTGAATGGAAGCAAGTCCCCACAGCAATGTTCCAACATCTAGTGGAAAGCCTTCCCAGAAGAGTGGAGGTTGTTATAACAGCCCATCTGAAATTAGCCCACCCAACTACCTCATCCCCATATTGTTATTTATTTTGCTCATTTGCATCCCAGTATCTCTATTTGCACATCATCTCTTGCACATCTATCATTCCAGTGTTAATACTAATTGTAATTATTTTGCACTATGGCCTATTTATTGCCTTACCTCCATAACTTGCTACATTTGAACACACTGTATATATATTTTCTGTTGTATTTTTGACTTTATGTTTTGTTTTACCCCATATGTAACTCTGTGTTGTTGTTTTTATCGCACTGCTTTGCTTTATCTTGGCCAGGTCGCAGTTGTAAATGAGAACTTGTTCTCAACTGGCTTACCTGGTTAAATAAAGGTTAAATAAAACAATTAAATTGTTTTTAAAATAATTAACAGCGAAAGGGGGAACAACTCCATATTAATGCCCATGATTTTGGCACGAGATGTTAGTTGAGCAGGTGTCAACATCCTGATGTAGTGTAAGTTGTAGTGCTGCCTAGCTGGTAGACAGTGTTGATCATAGAATGGCATATTCATCTTCATTATAATAAAGTGTTTTTGAAGCTCACAAGAATTCATCTCTGTTTTGATGATAGAAAAATGATTTGTAAGAAAACAAACATGTAATTTGCATATGAAATACAGCCATCCCATGTTCTTAAAAAAAAAAAAAAAACGGGATTTAATGAAGCTGTGGCTGAATCTAAAACAAAGGTCACAATGAGAGAGGTCAATATTCAACGAGTCCCGACCTAAAGGCCAACTGCCACATTAAAATGTAAATGTTTTCCTTTTGAAAAGGA